ACTGGTCTGTACTGGTTTATACTGGGCTGTACTGGGCTGTGCTGGGCTGTGCTGGGCTGTACTGGTTTATACTGGTCTGTACTGGTCTGTACTGGGCTGTGCTGGTCTGTACTGGGCTGTACTGGTTTATACTGGTCTGTACTGGCCTGTACTGGGCTGTACTGGTTTATACTGGCCTGTACTGGTTTATACTGGCCTGTACTGGTCCGTACTGGGCTGTGGTGGGCTGTACTGGGCTGTGCTGGCCTGTGCTGGTTTATACTGGTCTGTAATGGTCTGCACTTGTCTATACTGGTCCCTACAGGCCTGTACCAGCCCATACTGGCCCGCACTGTCCCATACTGGTCTATACTGGTCCATACTGGTCTATGCTGTCCCGCACCGACCCATACTGGTCTATACCAGCCCGCACTGGTCTATACTGGTCCATACTGGTCTATGCTGTCCCACACTGTCCCATACTGGTCTATACTGGTCCATACTGGTCTATGCTGTCCCACACCAACCCATACTGGTCTATACTGGTCCATACTGGTCTATGCTGTCCCGCACCGACCCATACTGGTCTATACTGGCCCATACTGGTCTATGCTGTCCCACACCAGCCCATACTGGTCTATACTGGTCCATACTGGTCTATGCTGTCCCACACTGTCCCATACTGGTCTATACTGGTCCATACTGGTCTATGCTGTCCCACACTGTCCCATACTGGTCTATACCAGCCCATACTGGTCTATACTGGTCCATACTGATCTATGCTGTCCCGCACCGACCCATACTGGTCTATACCAGCCCGCACTGGTCTGTACTGGTCCATACTGGTCTATGCTGTCCCACACCGGCCCATACTGGTCCATACTGGTCTATGCTGTCCCACACCAACCCATACTGGTCTATACCGGTCCATACTGGTCTATACTGGCCCATACTGGTCTATACCGGTCCATACTGGTCTATACCGGTCCATACTGGTCTATACTGGCCCATACTGGTCTATACCGGTCCATACTGGTCTATACCGGCCCATACTGGTCTATACTGGCCCATACTGGTCTATGCTGTCCCACACTGTCCCATACTGGTCTATACCGGCCCATACTGGTCTATGCTGTCCCACACCGGCCCATACTGGTCCGTACTGGTCTATACAGTCCCACACTGTCCCACACCGGCCCATACTGGTCTATACCGGCCCATACTGGTCTATGCTGTCCCGCACTGTCCCACACCGGCCCAT